TGGCTATTTACTTACAAGTTTGAAATAGGAGAGACTTGTTTAGAAAGATGGGGAGACCCTGGCTTGATGTCTGGTCTCTCTCAGTCCCAAGAGCGAACGACTTCCCAAACAAAGAACACAACAAAAGCCTCGCCCCCCCCCCCCCCAAGATTTGAAAGTATCTTGTCCCCTTATTGGTCCTTTGGTCAGATGCCAGCCAGGTTACCTGAGCTTCTTAACCCTTTACAGGGAAAAGGATTTTGGAGTCTCTGGCCAGGAGGGAATTTATAGTACTGTACACAGGACAGCTGTTACCCTTCCCTTTAAAGTTATGACAAATGGCTATTAGCCAAGATGGCCAAGGTTGCAACCCCATGCTGTGGGAGTCCCTAAACCTCTCACTATCAGAAACTGGAATGGATAACTGGGGATGGATCACTTGATAATTGTCCTGTTCTATTCATTGGCTCTGAAGCATCTGGCACTGTTGTAAGGCAGTACACTGGGCTAGATGGACCACTGGTCTGACCCAGTTTGGCCACTGTTATGTTCTGGCTTTAAAAGCTATGGATCTGTGAATTTTGGTTTCCAAGTGGCTTATTTTGGTTTAGCTGAAACCTGATAGCTAATGATTTAGCTAAACCAAAATCAGAATGTCCACATGAGGATCTGCACCAATTTAACGAAACCAACTTAAATTCACACCTTAGGTTACACAGAAGCAACTTCCTCATTTGGACAACACAAAGTAAATGGAGACAAATCAATCGTCCATCTACGTGGGATTTTGCACTGGTTTAACTAATTGACAGAAAAAGATGATTTAACCAATGCTGCCAATCCCAAGTATCCAGAAATTATGAAACTATGAGATTTTCTTTAAAAAGGTTGAGTTATAATCTATTTACCTTCGGGTGGAGGAGCTTTTGGGATTCATCATTTGAAGATTTTCTCGTGCACCAGTGCAAGAGGATGTCAATAGCCACTAAAGTTCTAGATCATCTTTATCCTGGAGCCAACCACAGCATGAGGGGCAGGCCAATGGGGAATGGAGCCCAGAGTCCCTGAAGAGTAGCAGAAGTTGCAGAGGAGCTGGGAAGCTCTCCTTGAATGCGATAGCTTTTTCATCACTTTCTCTATCCAGGGGACAAAGTGGGAGACTCTTGTGTAGACTTCAGGAGGGGACATAGCATGAAAATTCCAAGAGGAAATGCCTTGGGCCACCCCATCACACACCAGGGGCCCCCCATAATCATCCTTCAAAAGAAAACAAGGAACAGGGTGAGGAACATCTGACGGAGCACTTTCCCCATGTCTTCATAGTGAGACACAATGGAGGTGACTCCCCTGGGCCGAGCTATTAGGAGATGTGCCCACTCACTCCCATTATGTACTTCTCCAGCAAATGTCCCCCCAGGCCCAAACCCAGCCCCATCACAGCTCCCTGAGAATTAGAACCATCCAAGGCCAAAGGAGATTTACCCCTAAGGTTCCTTCAAGGACTCCCATATCCCCAGTACAGAGCTTTGACTTATAGTTATACTCCCTGCCAAAGTAAAGCCTGCAGAAGTTGTCCCCCTTCACTGGCAACTCCACCTCCATCAGCACACCTGAAGCCTTCTCAGTATCTGAGCTATTAAGTCCTTGTGCCTGGCTCGACTTTCTGGTTTGCCTTTGGCAGCTTAATGGGTCTCACCCGGCCATTCATCTGTGCCAGGTGTTCAAGCTTCCAAGGGGAAAGTGGGAAGTACACAAGGATCAGGGGAGGGGGAAAGCGAGAGAGGAGTGATGAGGAGGCCATAGAGGGGTATGGCCATGTGACAGCTGCAGCCCTCAAAGCAGTGTGAGGTCACTGGGGGTTGGATGATGGGAGGGGGCGGTACCTGCAGCAGTGTGAGGTCACTGGAGGCAGGGTGATGGGACGGGGTGGTACCTGCAGCAGTGTGAGGTCACTGGAGGCAGGGTGATGGGGGCAGTGCCTGCAGCAGTGTGAAGTCATTGGGGATAGGGGGATGGGATGGGGGTGGTACCTGCAACAGCATGATGTCATTTTCACCTGTCTCCTCTTTGTATTTTGGGTGGAGGATTCGTTGACATACTTGGATATGCTTCTTCCCTGGTTCATCTGTTGAAATGTTGTGGGCCCCCAGCAGCACGGTGATGATGCTGTGAAATAGAAGGGGATGCAGGTGCTGCAGACAGGCCAATGCTGTGGGGACAGTCATGGGTCATTAACATCGTTAAAGTGGGTGGGTGGAGACGCTGCCTGGCCCTCAGGATGAAGGTACACAAGCCAGTACTCCAGGGCTTTTCCCCTGCTGTGTGTGGGGGGGGGGGGCAGTTTTGAACTGGCCCCCGGGCAGGGGACTGGCTGGCTCAGAGTGAGGGGATCTTATATTTCTTACCCAGGGTTGCAGTTACAAAGAGCTGCCGTCACCACCATGTCCTCCCGGAGCAGGAACCCTCCACACCTGTTTACTTCTTTTCCTCCTGTCTATATCTTCACGAAGGCCGTGTAGGGTTTGGAGTGAGACCAGGCTTCCCATCCCCCGATGATCTGCCCTGGTATAGATGCCAAGAGAGGGAATTAGTTCAGGCCCCCAATCCAGCCAACTGGTGTACCTCTCCCCCGACCGAGATCAGAGTCCCCATTGTGGTGGGCGCTGCACAGACCCCAACTCATATCAGGGCCCCCATTGTGCCAGGCACTGCAGAGAAACAGTGAGAAATCCTGATCCACAGAGTTTTCCTAGACACAGGACGGATCCTCATCCCCGTTTCACACACACGGCTATCCAGGCACAATGGGAAAATGACTCAATCCAGATCACTGGTGCAGAGTGGGGCAGAATTGGAAAAAGAACCCAGGAGTCCTGATGCTCAGCCCCTGTAGCCACCCTCTAACCACTAGAACCCACTCCCTTCCCAGAGCCAGAAACTGAATCCAGGCATCCTGGCTCCCAGCTGCTCCTGCTCTAACCATGCAGGTTGCACAAGTCTGTATTTCCTGTCTAGGAGTTAAGAACATAAGAGCGTCCATACGAGGTTAGAACAATGATTCCATCTAGCCCAGTATCTTGTCTTCCAACAGTGGCCAATACCAGGTGCTTCAGAGGGAATGAACAGAACAGGTAATCATCAAGTGATCCATCCCCTGTCACCCATTTCCAGTTCCTGGCAAACAGAGACTAGGGACACCATCCCTGCCCATCCTGGCTAACAGCCATTGGTGAACCTATACTTCATGAATTTATCTAGTTCTTTTTTGACCCCCCTTTGTAGTCTTGGTCTTCACAACATCCTCTGACAAAGAGTTCCACAGGTTGACTGTGCGCTGTGTGAAGAAATACTTCCTTTTGTTTGTTTTAAATCTGCTGCCTATTAATTTCATTTGGTGGCCCCTAGTTCTTTATTTACTTTCTCCACACTACTCATACCTCACATCTATCATATCCCCCATTAGTCATTTCTTTTCCAAACTGAAATGTTGCAGTCTTATTAATCTCTCCTCTTATGAAAGCAGTTCCATACCCCAATCATTTTTCTTGCCCTTTTCTGTACCTTTTCCAATTCTGATATATCTTTTTTGAGATGGGGTGACCACATCTGCATGCAGTATTGAAGATGTGGGTGTACCATGGATTTATATAGAGGTAATATGATATTTTCTATCTTATTATCTATCCCTTTCCTAATGATTTCCAGTATTCTGTTAGCTTTTTTGACTGCCACTGCACATTGAGTGGATGTTTTCAGAGTTATCCACAATGACTCCAAGATCTCTTTCTTAAGTTGACTGTTCACATCAGCCCTTATTGAGTTTCTGTGTATCAGTTCCCTCTCAGGGGATTTATTATGGTAGCATCAACCCCCCCTCACCCTCACTCTTTAGCTCCCTGCCCCCAATTCCCACAATTCCCCAGCTGTGTCCTGGGCACAAACCGATGCCCCCAAACCCTATGGCTTTGGGGCATCTCAGCTTTGTCCTGGGCACACAATGATAAACACCTGCAGACCGCACAGCCCTGAGGCTCACCAGTTGCATCCTGGGCAAACACTGTTAGCCCCCCAGGTCCCATGGCACCCCGTCTGGGTGATGGGGACACACTGATAGTGCTGGTGGAAGTATTTGACTCTGGGGAGGAGCCTGGGATTGCAGACAGCTCCGATAGTGCCAGGCTCTGCTCCCTATGGGGCTGGGGAGCCTATTCCCCATATACTCAACAGCCTGAGCCCTGGGGGTGGGGGTTGTAGGAGGGAAACACCATGGGGAGCAGGAGCAGCAGCATCATCCTCTGAGGGAGTCTGGGGAAGAAGACAATGCGTCTGCCTCTGGGTCACTTATAGACCTGGCCAAGGGAGAAGGAAGGGGAGGGACTGGGTCTCCCCAGGTGATGGCTCTGCTCAGGGTAAACCCAGGGCTGGCTCCAGCATTTCTGCCGCCCCAAGCAAAAAAAAAAAAAAAAAGCCGCGATCGCGATCGGAGGCGGCAATTCGAAGAAAAAGAAAAAAAGCTGTGATCACGATCGGCGGCGGCAGGTCCTTCACTGCTAGAGGGAGCGAGGGACCTGCCGCCGCCGAATTGCCGCACGTGCTGCCCTTCTCCCTTGGCGCCCCAAGCACCTGCTTGTTAAGCTGGTCCCTGGAGCCAGCCCTGGGTAAACCACAGCCCCTGGATCCTTCCAGGGAGGAGTTCACACGTGGATTGTCTCTCACCAGCCACTCTGCAGAGCTAGCAGAGAGCAACCTGCTGGGGCTGTGCAGATCTGGGGCCCTGAACCCCAAGTGCTCTGCACATGGGGGCCACTATGCCCCCCCCCCCACTCACCAGCCGGAGCCTCAGGGAACAGGAGTAGGAGCAGCATTGTCAGGGCGCAGCTGGGGCGCATCTGCCTGGGAGATGGGTTACAGGCCTGGCTGAGCAGCGGGGATGCAAGGCAGGAAACCTCGAGACCATGCGCTCTGGGGGTGTTCCTGGGTCTCAGCGCTTGGACATCATCCCCGCCCCAAACACACCAGCTGGGGTGCGGAGGGTGGAAAAGGGGAGTCACTATCTGAGGTCTCTCAGCCTGAGTCCATTGCGGTGGGGCCATGGGCATTGCAGGGCTGCGCTCACCCTGGGCAGTGCCCTGCAGCCCTGCTGAGCGGGGGGAAGTAGCTCTGCAGCTAGGAGGAGGGGCCAGGCTGTGGTTAACCTGGCCTCATCTCAGCCTCTCTCTGCACCAGGCAGGCTGCTGTGTCCAGCTGGGACCAACACAAGCCGCAAGCTCACAGACTCGCTTGCCTGGTGTCTTACAAAGCAACGCCCCACCCCCAGCCCCCAACCAGCATCCAGGTGAAGGAGTTGGAGGAAGGTTCCTCTGCGGCCTGGTGCCTTCCACAGTTGGGCACTGGCCCAGCCTGGAACCGTGCACATCTGGGGTGGAGCTGAGCCTTGATGCACCTTGCACAGGAAGCCCTCCCTCCCCCACCCTAGGCTCTGTGCATGTGCCTGGTAGAGTATGTGGCTAGGGCTGAGACATTCACTGACACAGCTTTGCTGGCCTCTCCCTCCACGGGCCTGGATCAGAGCAGAGATGGGAGTTGGGGGGACACCTAAGGATGATGTTATCAACTGCCAGATGGGGCCTCGGCCGTCTCCATTCCTAGAAACTGCACCACACAGGCTTGGGTTGAGGTGAGATCAGGCCCAACTGCGCCATCCTCTCCCCCCCCAGCTCTGCCCCAAAAGCCCTGCCCAGCTGGGGGCTGCCTGTCCTTGTGCTAGGCTCAGCTGTGGCCACACCTAGCTGGGACCCTGCTCTGCCCCTTGGCAGCCGTGCACCACGGGGTACCGCGCACATCTGGAGCGGAGCTGGGGCAGGTGGCTCAGCAGTTAATAACGGCGTCTGAGCTCTCACCCCGACTTGGTGCTATTGTGGTGGGAGCTGTGGTTTGACCAAGACTCAGCTCAGCTTCTGACGCAAACCCGGCCTCTTGATCTGGCTCAGCTCCTCACCCTCCCTCGCAGTGTGGGTGTGAGCTGGGGAGAGAGACGTGGGTCAGGGAGATCAGATCCCTCCTGTCTGTGACAGCACCACTTCCCACAGACACCCAAATTGGGGATGGGGACAGAAACAATGAAGCTGATTCTCAGCCCACCTGAGACAGCCAGTCTTGGATGGGAGCTAGAGGAGAAAGGCCCATGTCCCATCCCCACCCCCTGAGCCAGTCCCTCACCATGGGTCTAGGTTGCAGCCAGTGCCCCCTAGAGGGGAAAGGCCTCGTGTTTAATCCCTCCCCTCCCCTCCTCCGCCTGGAGCCAGCCATTCCTCGTCCTGGGGCTGGTTTGGAGCCAACACCCCAAGAGGGAAAAGACCCAGCATTTCCCACCCACCATCATATCAAGGGTCGCCGTGTAGTGTGAGGCTGGATCCCATGAGGAGCTGCTCCCATTGCACTGAGAGAGGAGCCGAGTGGACTCCAGTATTTACCTGCTCCTGGCCATATGTCCGGGGGGGGGGGGGGGGCATTGCTTGTTCAGTGCATCTGAAAATATCCCTATATCCCCCCATTGGGAGATGCTGGGCACTGAGCTTCCATGTGATTGAGCCCCAGCACTTGACAGGATGGGCTGAGGATTGTAACAGGGGGGTCAGGTGGTTAGGGGCCCAACCCCACTGAAAGTCCATGGGATTTAGACACCTCACTCTGCAGGTGGCTTTGAACATCCCAGCCTGGCTGTGTGCTATAGGGGTGGATGGACATGGAGGGTGTAGTAGAAGGAGAGATCCTGAGACACGAGGCCTGCTATAAGGGGCCTGGTGTAAGGCCTAAGGCCTGAGCTAGAGTCAGGCCCTGCTGAGGTAAATATAAAAGTTAGCAAGAGTCAGGCTACAGGCAAAAGTGAAGCCCTGTAACCAAGGAGATGTCTGATACGTGAACTTGCCAAGCACAGGGCTGGCATGTCAAAAACACAAGCACTCCGAGGCACTAATATCCACATAAATACATTCCAGAAGGATCATGTCGGAACATCCCAATACAAGGTAAACACCCCCAATACATGTTAAACACACTCCCTGAAGATGATACACGGACACAGCAATCTCTCCTATAGATAAGGTCAGAATGACAGAGTGATGGATAGAGATGTTTTGAGCGAACCAACAGCGACACAATAAAGGGGGGTAACTAACCACAGCAGAGGGGCAATACTTAACTTGTTTGTATCAGTGTATAAAAGAGGGGTCACAGAGGGGGTGTCCTTGTTCAGCGGAGGGGGGGAGCAGAAAGTTCCTCACTGATCTGAGTCCTTTGTCTCGGGCATACACGTGTTAGTGTACATGTAACACATATACGGCATTAATCCGTGCTTTGTTGGCAATAAACCTGGCTGAGCATCTTCGCCACTGAACCGAGTCTGTGGTCTTCTTGGACTAGTTTGATAGAAGTCTGCTGTATGGACTACTTGTCTAGAGCTGGTGCAGGACACACAGAAAACACACACACAGCCAACAACTGACAACACTGGTGACCCCGACCGCTGATCTGGTAAGTAGGTGAGCTGCCCTCTGTAAGAATTGTGATAAAACATGGTAGAAAGTTACAAGCTAGGGAACCCCCTTATCCGCTCCATGCAAATCCTCACAGAGTTTGATGCCTTTGTCTCCTGGGGGTCCCCCACGCACAGCATTCTGGATGGGGTGTACTGTAGATATGGCTGAGACAAACACACACCCTTGCTCATGACCGTCAGTTTCACCTCCTGCAGTGTCGGGTATGATCGGGTATTTGTCTTGCTACTAATCTGGCCCCAGCAGGCCACGCTACAAACAGTCTCCTCCTTCACCTCTCGCTGTGGCAGGGGGGTGGTGACCATAGTCTGGGTCAGCCTGGCCTTGTGCCTCAGCTGTGATGGGGGAGAGAGAGAAGGGAAATCAAACTCCTCTTGTGGGATGGATCCTGTCTTAGGGGGATGGGGCTAGATGGAACCAGGTGGGGCATCCCCATGACAACTGTGCAACACTGTGATGTCATGTGCCCACTGGGGGTGTGGTGATAGGATGGGGCGGTACCTGCAACAGTGTGAGGTCACTGGGGGAAGGTTGATGGGATGGGGGCAGTACCTGCAGCAGTGTGAGGTCACTGGAGTCGGGGTGATGTGATGGGGGTGGTACCTGCAGCAACATGATGTTATTTTCATAGGTCTCGTGGGAGATTCGGTGACGTTCCCAGATCTTCTGCCTCCCCAGTTCATCTATTTCAACATTGTGGGCTCCCAGCAGCACGGTGATGGTACTGTGAAATACAAGAGGATGCAGGTGCTGCAGACAGGCCAATACTTGGAGTCCTATGCTCCCCAAAATATCCCCCCAAGCCCCTTCACCCCCTTTCCTGGGGAGGCTTGAGAATAATATACCAACCAATAGGTTAATAAAATGAGCACAGACCAAATCCCTGGTTTTTAGGACACTGAAAATCAATCAGGTTCTTAAAAGAAGAATTTTATTTAAAAAATGTAAAAGAATCACACCTGCAAAATAAAGATGGAAGGTAACTTTACAGGGAAAATAAAAATATTTAAACACAGAGGATTCCCCTCTGACTCTGCTTCCCAGTTGCAAAACAGGAAAGAAATTACCTCTTAGCATAGGGAAAATTCACAAGCTAAAACAAAAGATAATCTAACACATTTCCTTGCTATTACTTACAATTTCTGTAATTTTAGATGTATCATTTCAGGATCTTTTTAGGAGCTGGTTTATCTGCTTGGTCTCTCTCTTTGTCCCGAGAGGGAACCAACAAAGAGAGCACAAACAAAACCTTTCCCCATTGGTCCTTCTGGTCAGGTGACAACTAGGTTAATTGTACTGATTAACCCCTTTCACGTAAGTGATTCTGTACCCCTGGCCAGGAGGGATTTTAGGTTACTGCATACATAAGGGTTGTTACCCTTCCCTTTATATTTAGGACAGCTCCCCTCTTGGGGTAGTGGAGCATGGGAGTGGCATGGCCGTGGTGGTTTACACCACCTTCTTCCCCTGGAGAAACGGGTTGTACCCCCGGCAGCTGCGGGCAGGGGGATATTTACCTGGAACACTGATTTCTTGGTGTGAATGTTGTCAGCGCACAGAGGTGGGGTCATAATGCTGGCACTGCTCTTTGCACAGGCCATCTGACACCACCTCCTGCTCCACCTCCTGCAGCGTGTCAATGGTGGTGTTTACTCCGGTCCGACCCCACCCAGCCACGCTGCACTCAGAGCCTGGGCTGACATGGTGACCAGTCTCTGGCAGGTGGACAGATTCAAACCCACACGGTCAGCTCCGTGCCGTGTGACAGCTTCCATGGGCAAGAGAGAGAGAGAATGGACCCGGATCAATGCAGGTATCAGAGCTGGAAAGGGGCAACACCACCCTGCTAGACCATGGATGTGAGTCCAGGAGGTGAGTGTGAGGTCACTGGGGTGGGGTGATGGGATGAGGGCAGAACCTGCAGCAGTGTGAGGGCATTGGGGTTGTGGTGATGAGAAGGGGTGTTACCTGCAGAAGTGTGAGGTCACTGGGGGTGGGGTGATGGGGTGGGGGCAGTACCTGCAGCAGCATGATGTCATTGTCAAAGTTCTCATTGTTGAAGTCGAGATGCTGGACCCAGCAACGGGCCCAGATCCATTGCCAGTTCTGTCCCAGCTCCATAAAGTCTTGGACTCCCAGGTACACAAAGTTGTTGCTGGAAAAGCCACGGGGAGAATATGGGGGCGTTAGTGGCCATTGCACAGTCGGGTGGGTCCGTCACACCCCCTCAGGAAGGGACACAAGCACTGCTCCTGGTCTGTGCAGATTTCTACCTAAAATTGTGAGACTGAGCAATACAGAGACCATCTTATGCATCCATGTATTGATGGACTTTCTCCTTCTCCCCTCTGGTTGGCTTAAGAGACACCAAAAGACTGACTCCGTTAACATCTGGTGCTGAGCTGGGGGACATGAGTTCCCTGCTAACACTAGAGACACTAGAGTCTCTTCCCGCTTATTGTAGTGGGGGCTGTGGTTAACCTGAACTCATCTCAGCTGCAGATGGGAACCCAGCCCTTTGATCCTTCTCACGTCCCACCACCACCATGAGAGAGACAGGGGGAGGGGCTGAGGTCAGAGAGACCGAACACTGCACTTCAAGGCATCGGTGATAGCAGGGCCTCTCCCACGTACTGTGCTAAGGCTGGGAAAATACAGCCCACTGAGCCAGCGTGTTTTCTTCCCTGCAGCCAGATGGGAGCTGGTGGCCTCGAGAGGGGAAAGGCCCTATCTTCCATTCCCTGCCCCTTCACCAAGCTAGGGCCAAAGGGCCATAGCTCCATTGGTGTCAATGGGGCCAGATCCCCAGCTGGGGTGAATGGGGCATAGCAGAGCAACAATCTGCAGTGTAATGGTCAGCCGTTAGGGGTCTCCCCTCCCAAGCGGTGGGAGAACCCAATGACGCTTGTTAAGTGGGTGGGGGGGAAGTGGTGTGGGTTAGTGGTGCGACCACAGGCCTGCACCTCAGGATGGCTGGGTTCTGTTCCCAGCTCTGCTGCTGGGTGACCTTGGAGAAGTCATGGCCCTGCTCCATGCCTCCATTTCCCTATCGGGGGCTAATGATTCTAACTACCTTTGTAAACAGGGCCGGCTCTAGGTTTTTTGCCACCCCAAGCAAAGAATTTTTGGCCGCTCCCCCTCCCTCTTTTTTGTGTGTGGCTTTTACACATGTTTGCAGAGCACCTGATTTGCGTTGTTTTCCACTCTGCTCAGCAATGGCTGATGATGGCTCTTTAACCTCATTCCAAGGGCATCTCTTAGAGTCAAAAGAAAGCTGGGGCTTACTGGGGGCAACTTGTCTTATTAAAGAGAATCTCTTCTGCATTTGCTCTTCTTTCAGCGCATGCCCCTCCAACTTCACTTCCCACCCAGACTGGAAGCGAGATCAGAGAGTTTCACTCCTTAAAGTCTAAAACCCACGAGTGTTTCTTTCCCCCGCTTCTCTCTCCTTTCGGTAAAAGGCTCCAGGTGTCTTTCCCTTTCACCTTAATTGGAAGGAATGTCCCCTGACCTCCCCAGTCCCCGCTTTCCCATCACCACTCTCCTTCCAGTGACCTGCTCCTGTAGTGAATGCCTCACATGTCTAGGGTCGGAAAATATCCTACAAATCAAAAGAGAAGGGAGGTGGGGTTGGACAACAGGGTCTGGGGGTGCCACTGTGGAGGTTCGATTAGATGTTCACAATGATCCATTCTGGCCTTGGAATCCATGAATCCATGATTCAATGAGCAACCAGTCATCTGGATATTGGTGCTGACCTCCCTGTAAAGCCCATTCCTCCGACTCCCCCAATCGGTCCCCTCGCCTAAGAGGGCCCCGAGCCCAGCCAGAGCATGGCAAGCCCCGCGAACCTGCAACCCCGGCCGGAGTGCGGCAAGTCCCGTGGCCCCACTACCCCGGCAAGTGCGTGGCAAGCCCTGCGGACCTGTAACCCCGGTTGGAGCACAGCAAGTCCCATGGCCCCGCTACCCCAGCAAGAGCATGTCCCTTCATTGAAGGGGGCTGAATTGGGTTTGGGGAGTTCTGAGTATGAAGGAATGCCCCCCACCCAGAACGGTGGTGCCATGCCCAACAGGTGCTTGAATAAAAGCCCAGCTTCTTACTCCCCCCGCACATGTAATAAAATCCTACATGAGAAGAGACTCTTTGGGGGACCATTGTCTGTCTGTATTTTGGCACCCCCTGAGGGTGAGTGCCCTGCACTGCCGTCCCGGATGCCTGGGTCCCATCCCATCGCCCAGTCTCTGCCTCTCAAGGAATGGGAGCTCTGGGGCCCCCTAGGGGTGAGTGCCCTGCACTGCTGTCCCAGATACCTGGGTCCCAGTCTCTGTTCAGCATTTGCCTTGCACCATCCATAACACCTCTCCTGCCTGACTCCTTGACACCAATTTTAAAAGTGAGGACCCAATTTTATCCCCCTGCCTTTTCACTCCCCTCCCCCACACACATGAAGGTTCACTAAGGGCAGCATTAACTCAGCCTCAGCTACGTGCCCCCCAGGACAAGGTGGGAACTGGGACTATTAGTCATGTTTTTTATTATGCCCAGTCTTGCCTCAGTTTCCCCTCAGTGCTTTGCATTGCTGGGCATGGAGGTTAAAGGGTTAAAAAGCTGCTCTTGGGATACAGCAGAAGCCATGAGGTGCTGGGACATGTCACCATCTGGAGGGTGGCATGAATGGGTCATTGACAACTGGCACCTGACCCAGCTCATTGGAGGAGCTGGAAAGCCAATGGGAGTTCCACCCACTCACGATGGGAAATGCCGACAGGAGGACAATGGCCCAGTTGTTCTGGGGGGCTTGGGAGAGAGCCGGCCTTTACAGAGACCTGGGGGCTCTCCCCTGGTACAGACAAAGAAACAAGGATGGGGAGAGGGAGCAGAACTGGGGTGCGCCTAGCTTGGCTGGCTCCTTTGCACTAGCAGGGCCAGATGGACTATGCCTAAACTTTGGCTTCTCCAGGCCAAGCAGAGGACGTCCCCAATCTGTGTTCAGTCCAGGGAACCAGTCAACCCGGCTCTCTTTGGAAAAGTTTGGTGAGTGCCAATCCCGGCTGAGGTGCACGGGTCCCTGGGGAGCGTAGACACCTCCGAGCAGGAGTCTCTCTCAGTTGGCTTCACCGGGCAGAGCTCACAGTGTGAAGCAGGGGGGCTGGAGCCCAGGGGCTCAGTCTTGGAGGCAGTGAGGCTCCAGGGCCCATTCTGAAGGCAGTGTGGCACCCCTGGGGGGCCGGCACAGTGACAGGGATATGCCGAGCAGCGGTTGGAAAGCCGGGGCATAGCAGAGATCCTATGGAGGCGTGACACCGGGTGGAGGGGAAATTCGTCAGCAGGGAGACGCACAGGCTGGCCTGGCCCTGCCTTGGTGGTGGAGGTGGCCTCAGAGGGGGATGTGGAGCCCCCGGGAGAGGGAAGCATGGCATCAAAAGTGAGTGCTGGGCTCCAAACGTGCATGCCCACCAGGGTGTGGTGGGCCCCAGATGTGCACAGCCCTAGGAGTCAATGGGCCAGACCCTGAGTGGGTGTGAATGGGTCGTAGCCCCACTGGGGTCAATGGGGCCAGATCCCAGATGGGGCAATCGGCCGTAGTTCCACTGGAGTCAATGAGCCAGATCCCAGCTGGGGTCAGTGGGGTGTAGAGCAATGCAATAACCCGCAGTGTAATGGTCAGCGGTTAGGGGTCTCCCCTCCCAAGCAGTGGGAGAACCCCACGGTGTTTGTTACATGGCTGGAGACAGACTCTGTTTAACAGGAATTGCCCTGAATACAGAGACGGAAACACCATGAAGGTGATGAAAAGGTTTCTATCTGGGACTAATGTGCAAATGTTGAACATGGAGCCATTGGAACAACTGACCGGGTGGAGGCAGGAGTCGCTCGGTGGGTTTTGACTCT